GGCTCTAACTGGCTTCGTGCTAACAATCCTCGTCTCCAGTGCCCATTGCACATCTCTTGCTTTCTGTCTGCCTCCTCCCATGCACCAGTAGCTTGAGAGTGTAGGGGAGTCAGCACGTATAGGGGAAGTCTCAACCAGCAGGGTTCAGGAGCTGGTGGATTGGAAGAGGCCTCTATATGCTCCAAGGAGCATTCTGACAGGATCAAGGCCCAGTTTTGGTTTTTCCTTCTCTCCTGGTCCCCCACTCACTCTCAACTCCCTGTAATCACATTCCAAATAAACTACCTGCTCCTAAGTCCTTGAATCAGTTTCTGCTTTTGGAGAAGCAATCTAGGCCAAAACAGCACCTACCACCTTATATGCTAAGTCTATCTTTATTCATTTATTTACTTGCTCACTCATTCATTCATTAAACAAATACAAACTGAGTCTACTCTATGTTCTAGGTTGTGGGAATGCAAGAATGAACAAAATAAATAAAGTCCCTGCCTTCATAGACCTTATATTTTATTGGGAGAGACAAACTATGAGCAAATGAACACAGAAATAGATCATTTAATTTTCAGATGAGAGGTGCTTTGAAGGGAAAAAGCTGGATCTAGACAGGGATGGAACAGAGATGGGGAGGATACTTGGATAGGGTCGTTGGCAGAGACCTCTCCAAGGAGGCTCCATTTGAGAAAACACAAATAAAATGAAGAAGGAATTCAGAAGGCCTAGGAAGAACAATAACAATGACCTGAGGCAGAAATGAGCTTGAAACAAAGTGGACAAGAGGGAGAGTGCAGGAGGTATGTTGGGAGGGTCCAGCAGATACCAACTCATTTGGATTTTGCATTTTATTTGGACCAAGAACAAAGGAGGGAGGCTTTCACCCTGGCTGGTGTGGCTCAGTGGGTTGAATGCCAGCCTGGGAACAGAAAGGTTACCAGTTGATTCCTGGTCACGGCACATGCCTGGGTTGTGGGCCGGTTCCCCAGTTGGGGGCATGTGAGAGGCAACTGATTGATGTTTCTCTGGCACATCCATGTTTCTCTCCCTTTTTCTCCCTCCCTTCCCCTCTCTTCAAAAAGTAAAAATCTTTTTTTTTTATTTTTTTAAAAAAGAAGGGGCTTTCGGCAGAGGAATAATATGACATAAGTTCTATTGTATCTTATAAAGATCATACCAGCTACTGTCCTAGACTAGATATACTGTACAAATCACATTCGATTAGAATAAGGGAGCAGAAGTAGAAACAGAGGGACAGTAAGGGGATGAACAGTGGTCCAGGTAAGGCATGATAATGGGCTGGACTGGAACAGTAGTGACAAGTGGTTGGATTCACCATATATTTAGGCAGTAGAGCTGATAGGACCTACCTAGTGGATCAGATGTGGGGGCGTGGAGGGATGGCCCCTGGTGTTGATAGGTGGCACCCTTTACCCAGGAGGGGAAGCCTGGGGAAATAATGAGTGTGTGGGAAACAAAACATTATAATTTTGAGGTGCGTGCCAGACATCCAAATGGGGTAGAGGGGAGTTTAATGGAACAAGCAATGAATCATCAAGTTATTCTCTGAAAGAGTGATTCTCAAACTTGAGCGTGTATGGGAATTACCTGCAACTTGATCACCTGTAACTTGTTTACAAAGCTGGCCCCTGGAAACTAGCATTCAGAACTTCTGGGCTTAAGGGAGAAGCTTAGGAAGACAAGGACCCCCAGGTAATTCTGAGGCAGGTGGTACTTTGAGGAACTGCCCTGGGGGGTAGGTAGATGAGAGTGTGGGGAAGTGGAGGGCAAGGAATACTGCCAGGATAGGGATGACCAGGTGGCAGGATCCTGAAGGATATTTCCGTTCTTTCTAGGGCGATTGTGAGGCCTTAACATCCATTAACCCCCTCCTTCCCTGTGCATGTAGGGATGGATATACAGGTGTGGCAGGAATTTGTCCATCATGTACCAGTCTGCACCAGGCACTCATACCCATTGCCAGCTCCAGAGCTCACCACCTCTACAGAAAAACTGATTTATTGAAAAGCCTCAGATGAACTCTTGTGATAGGCTGCAATTTTCTAAGGAACAATATGATATCAATGAGGCTACTGGCAGGTGTCTGCAATGCAGGTGCCAAGCATAAGCATGGCTCCTGTTACTCAAAGAGCAAAGGGATGGGAGCCTGCTTTTCCTCAAGGCAGAGCTTATCAGGTGAGTGTTCCTATGCATATTGGCTGCTAGGGGGCTTGACGGTCTTCTCCCAGTATCCTTACCTCCAAACCCAGGTGTGGGATCACCCATGAACTGAGTCATGGTGAGCACAAAGGTCTTCACATCTGAATTCCCTGCTCTGAACCCTAATTTAATGGTATTAGGAGGTGGGACCTTTGGGAAGTGATTAGGGTTAGATGAAGTCATGAGGGTGGGTCCCCAGGATGGGATTAGTTATTAGGTGAGAGGGAGCAGCTGTGTCCCTCTTTCAGGCTCATGGGGGCTCATGCATGTGCTTTCTCCCTCTCCCTCTTCCCTCTTTCTTAAATCCCTCCCTCATCTGCAAATCAGGAAGAGAGTTCTCACCAAGAACTGAATCATTAAGCGCCTTGATCTTGCACTGCCCAGCCTCCAGAACTGTGAGAAATGAGTGTGTGTTGTATAAGTTTGTTGTTATGGCAGCTCTAACTGATTAAGACAGGCTTCCACTCAGTTTCTGTGCTGTTAAAAAACAAAATTCAACTGAATAAATTTAAAGATCTAATTGGCTTTATTTAAGTGATTCATGAATCAGGCAGCATCCCATCTAGCAATTGGTTTTTATGAAAGAAGGGCAGGGCAAGAGAGCTGTCAACAAAAGAAAAGAAAGGATTATATTGCAGACTATCCTCTTTTAGAGGAAAGAAAATGGCAAGGATTTTTGTGATGCAGATTGTTTCTTCATTCCATGGGGGCTGGAGAGGGCCTCTGTGACAGATCACATTACCGGTGTTGACCAGATTCCACGCTGCTTTGGGAAATATTGACAGAGCAGTTAGGTCCAGGTTTGGTACCATGGGCTTTAGCACAAGTGTGGCACTTGGGGCCTGTGGTTTTCTCGGTAACACTGCCTCCCGCCTCCACCCATTGTGTAAATTTTTAGTTTCCTTTAGTTCTAAAATTGTGTAAAATTTGAGTTTCTTTCATGGAACTTATCACTGATTGTAATAATATATTTGCTATCCTGTTTATTAGCTTGATGTTTATCTTCATAACCAGATGATGCCCTCTATGAATCTGTGCCTCTTTTGTTCACTCTGGACCCAGGGCTGTGCACTGTGTCTGCCATATACTAGATGCTTAATAATGTTTCTTGAAATGAAATGCTGACTATAAGAAATGTCTTCAACCAGAACTCTGTGTTCTCCTTGTCCTTCTGACTCATGCCAAGTTCACCTTTTAAAAATACTAATTTCACCTGACCCAACTCTTCTTTGTGTTTATTGGGTCCCTCCACCCTTTTTAAATGTTTATGGGAGCCAGGTGAAGTAAAGATCAAGCTTTTAGTGAGGAAAGTTGCTGTGGGTTTTTAACAAAAATGCACTTAATTTTAAGTTGTGGATTTGCTTTGAAAGAAAGCCCTAAACTCATGATCATGACAGGAAATAGATGAGTCATGCCTCCTTCTACTTAAGTGTCCTCTAGGTTGAGGCTTGATAAAATCAGCACTAACTGCTTGAACCTGCCTCGTTCAGTTACTAGGGTGCTGCCCCAGGTAGGCACATCCCACTGTGCCCATTTCTCTGCCATTCACAAGTGGGACCCACAGAGCTTCCACCAGCATTGCAGCATGGGCTCCATGATGTGACCCACCATTCCCAGAGATTGTGCGTATTCTGTGATAGTGTGTGTGCTGGGGGTGGGTGGGAAGGGATAGAGATCTTTTGGGGAAGACAGGGCAGACTCTGACTATAGCTATTTACAAAGTTGGGAAAACACAGTTCAATAGAATTTCCTCTTCAGTCAACGTTGGCCCATTTCCCTTCTCTCCTTGCTAAGAGGAAGTTCCGTTAGCTCATAAAAGCACAGAATCACACATTCCTCGGCCTGGAAAAGCCCCTGGAGGAGCTTACTCAGTTTAATAACCAATGGGGCCTTCTGTTGGGGACTTCAATCCAAATTCCTGAGAAGCCTAGAAGTGTCTCACCACTTGCTGTTTGGAAGAACTTGCTCAGTTTCTCCGGCAGCCAGGGCTGGGCCGGGCAGTCTGAGAGCAGTTGGAAAGTGAAGGAGACCCGGCACAAACTGCCCTCATGCTACAGAAGGGGAGAAGGCCTGCCCTGCAGCCAGAGCTCATGGCCTCGTATACCCCTCTCCTTTTAGCTGCATTGCTTTCCCCGAACTTGATGCCTTCTCTCAGTCTTTATACCTTGGCCAGCCTTCATCCAACCTATCTCAGAGGCTTTTTCCTTGGGGCAGAAGCCATCTCCAACACTCATTTCCAGGAGAAAGTGACCCACACCTCTTACCAATCTTGCAGAGGCCTCTGGGGCAAAAGTTGAGCAGGTCCCAAATGGTGTAATATTAGTCAAGCTCTCTAAAGGTGGGAGGATCAGCCCTTCCCCACAACTTGTTATTTTCTTAGAGTGAAAGGGGTGAGGCATTGTTGGAGATGATACAGGGGAGGAGACAAGGTGTCCTCAGTCACCTCCCCAAGGATCTAGGCTGGGACAAAGAGCAAAGTGCACCAGAGACTCAGGCCACCAGCCATGGGTTTGCTCCACCCTGCTGGGCTGAGTGAGCATGGGGAGAGATGCAAACCCACGCACCTGTGGCTTTTCGTGGAAGGAGCAGGCTTTTAGAAGAGAATGCAGATGGCTTCTGCACTTAGAAGAAACAGCCGTAGATGTACCTCCAGGTCCAGGGGAGCAGGTGGCAGGGCTCCAAGGAGTCTGGTTTGCTGCCTTCCTGAGAGGAAGGAGTTCCAGTGTCTCCTTTCCAAGTAGTCAGAATTTACACCCAAAATCTTGTTATTCTTTCCACATTCTTCTTTCCATTTTATGAGAGAATCCCCTCCATACTTACATGTATTTTCATAATCTCTTTAATTACATTACACACTTTACATTATGTTCCATTATTATACATGCTTTCACTAGATATATTTTCATTACATTTCATTTTCACCAAGAAAAATTGTCCATTTCCCTTTCAACTTTAAAAGCCGATGACAGCTATTTACGCACAGACTACCATGTGCCTGGCACAGCATGAAACTCTTTATATGCGATCTCATTTAAACTGCGTGACGTCCCCATGAGGAATTATTATTCCTACTTTATAAAGATGAGGAAACTGGAAATTAGAAAGGATCAGTAATTTGCCCAAGATCATAGACAATAAATGTTGGCATGAGAACTTTGTACCTGAGTCTGTCTGATTTGAACCTGAGTCCTCAGTTCTTAGGGTGACATCACACATTTTATTCATTATTATCCCCAATTATCAACAACTTTATTCCTCCACCAGCTACTATATCATCAGAAATCAGACTGATTTGACATGATTCCTTTGGTCCTGACAATCTACTGGAATAAAAAAATACATCACTCATTTACAGAGCTTTGTGTTCAAGGCACATTCATGTCTACTTCCTCAGTGGAACCTCGCACCCCTAGGAGTGAAATGAGTTAGGCATCGCTCTCTAGTCTCACAGATGAGAAAACAGATGAGGACGAGTGACTTTCCCAATGTCACACGACTAGAAACAGTAGAGTCTGAACTGGAATTTCTAGGCTCTTGAAATACCCAGAATTCTTTCACTGTACTATTCTGCCTCTCAATAAATAAAATTAAATAAATAAATAACCCTTCCTAGGGAACCCTGAGGAATCCTCCCTCAAGCCTAGGTTTCCAGAGGGAGTTGTTACCAGGCTGGTCTCCAGAGCTTGCTGGCTTCTAGAGCTTGCCGGCAGAGTGGAGGGGTTTGGGCTGGATTCCCTGGGCCAGAACCCCTGTTTATTCTCAGAATGGCACAGAGAAATGCAGGGCCATGGGAAGACGGAAGAGGGCATGCCCCAGACCCGTCGCCCCTCCTAGTTCCTTGTCCATGGACTGTAAACCAGCTTTGAATTCATATTCCAAACTGATGGTGGGGAAGCTGGGCCCACACTCACCCCTTTTGGGGCTTAGTGTCTACAGCTCTTTTAGTGGGATGCTGGGGACTTCTGCTCCACGTGTTAGCTGCAGCATGAGAAGGAACCTGGCTCTGTGCAGACAGGGGTTCCACAGCACACTTCTTCCCAGGCCAGGTCAGACACAGGTGGAAGCTTCACTAACATCCAGTGTGGAGAAACGTTTATTTCACAGATGGGGTAACTGAGACCCTCTGAGAAGTGGTTGGTCCGAGGTCAAGCAGCTGAACACTGAGACACCACCAGTGGTGTAGCCCAGTGCCCTGTCCCATGGGTCTAAGGCTGGACGTCAGCAGCAAACACACATTTAGGTCACAACCCTACCCCGAGGCAGCCCTGCCTGAAGGGCTGAGTTCTGACCAACAAAAACACGCATGGTTTTTCTGGCACTGTTAGCAAATGGTGGAGCAGCAAGATGGGGCCGGAGAGTGGTGTGGCCACTCCAAGTACCTCAGAGGGCTGCTGCTCTATTTGCTGGAAAGAGGGAAATGCCTGCGTAAGCACAGGACACATCCCCAGGGGGATGGGTTCTGAGCCAGAGGCCTCCTTTTGGGCCTCAGTTCCTCTTATTTTCCCCTGTGGCTCCATAATGATAGTTGCCTGACTGACTGGCTGACCAGGGTAGAACTACTGTAAGATCTTCCCTGACAAGCTCCCTGCCTGGGGTGGTGGGGGATGCTGATAGTGAGAAAGCTCCTCCACAGGACCCATTCCAATCTGGTTGGTGGTCAGTTGACCCTTCGAGGGATCAAACTTGGTCATCGCTCCCTCCTTTTCCTCCTAGAAATGACCCCTGCTCTGAGCCCCTGAAGACTGCATCCTCCCAGTCTCCACCTCACTGGAGGACCTGATACATAGCTGGTTAAGGAGGCAGGGGGAGACCTGCATCTGAGCTGGCTTCACCCCAGTGGCCTCACCACAACTCCAGAAACCCCATGAATTCCACTGAGCAAATACTCCTTATTATATAGGAAGAGTCCTGAGGAGTGAGGAGGTCTCTGTCCTGCCCTTCCCAGCTCTGCCAGAGTTGGCAGGGCCCCGTCTATAGTATAGGCTGCCCACACACTCTGCGCTGATCAGCGAGATGGCAGCGAGATGGCCTCCTCCTATGCGGCACCTCACTGGCTTGCAGAAAGGTGCCCAGACTGACACCATGCTTCACTTCTGACCCCTAGGGTCCTTCCTTCTAGTCCATGCAGGGCATGGTGGAAATCAAAAGCAGTCCCTTAGCTTGAGTCACTCACTGGACTGCAGAGTAGAAATCAGTGGCAGGGTGACCAGGTCTGAGTCAAAGCTGCCCAGAAGACTGCCTGGGGCTGCCACACAGTTCAGAGGGGCACGACCATGGGCAAAGCTCCAGTCGGATGTTCCTAGGTGACCACAGCTGGTCAAACCGAGGAGTGACCATTCCTCAGTTGGGTGGTTCCACTGTCCAGCTGGGGCCTGTGAGGGAGCAAGAGTCACTTCTGGGGGGTCCTGTTTCAAATAGCCCTTGGCCAGGGCTGGTGGTGGCCAGGCTTCCTCGGCATCCAGGCACATCCTGACAGGGGGACCAAAGCCATCTGCTGAAGAGGACTCTTCTTCCAGGCAGCCTGCCTTGGCTGCCTTCACCTCTGTGTCTCTGGTCTGTTTTCGGTAGCCCTGAAATGCCACCGCAGCTGGGTCTTCTTCCTCAGTCACCTCAGGCCCCAGGGAACTAACATGGCCCAAGGCTGAGCCGTCTTGTACATCCCCAGGCCTCCCTTCAGAGTTTTGTACAAGGCCAATGCCACTGTCATCCTGGCCCTGGCTACTGCTCCTCACCTGCTGCTCCCAGCTGGGCACCATGCCCGGACTCAGGTTGGGCTCCTGCAAGCAGATCCCACTATCCGTGCTGTTGCTGCTGCCACCGCTGCAGTTGTTCTCAAGTTCCAAGGCGGCTCCCTTTCCCAGAGTTCCCCTGACCTGGGGATGAGGGTCAGGGAGGAGGAACTGGGGATCTTCAGTCTGCAAGGATGGCTTGGCACTGCCAAAGCCACTGTCTGTGCTGCCATGCAGCTCTGAGTTCCTCAGCCCTAGGGACACCTTGGAGAAGGCCTCCTCATTGATGGGATGGATGGTGTCTTGGATCTCTGGGCTGAGAAGCTGACTGATAAGGTTGAAGGGACTGGACTTCTTGAAGACCTGGAGAGGAGAGGGCAGAGTGGGTAAGGCAGAGGGTCACCTGTAGGAATCCACCCTGCTGTTGCCAGGGGAGGCCACAGGTCAGTCCAATGCGGGGAGCTCCAGGAGGTAGTGCTCCAAAGGAAGGGCACTACAGAGCCTGGAGGACACTGCCACTTGTTCCTTTCATTGTGTTTCAGAATTTTTTCCTCCAAATGAAACTCTCAGTTCAGCTCAGAACTACCTACAGAAGAAGCCTGCAATCTCAGAGCCCAGATGGAATGACAGGAGGAATGGGAGTGGTGAGCCTTCTCAATGGCTGTACTTTCAAACCTGAACGCAGACTGGGCCCATCTTAACCTGAAAGTGGGGTTCAAACTCTTTTGACTATGATCCAAAATAAGAAATGTGTTACACAATAACCTGTATGTAAGTAGCCCATAAATATATATCATATAAATAACTAAAACCAGTTTCACCAAATACTTATTGCTACCTGTGTACTGTGATCTATTCTGGTGTGTTCTATTCTACTCTATTCTCCATCCTATTCATTTCTGTTTTTAAAATGTGTGGTGTGAGAAACCAAATTCATTTTGTCTTTCCCTGAGTTGTGACTTGCACAAACATAGGGTGACCACAGTGTGGGGACAAACGTAAAACTAGCAGCTGAAGACAATGTGAATTGCTGAGGATCTCAGTGAAATCACTTAATGCGGGCTCTTCTGCCCTAGTCACAGTGGTGTTCTTTCTTCTCAAGAACACATCAGTGCAGTGCTATCTCAGGGCCTTTGCACATGCTACACTTTCTGGTTGGAATACTCTTCTCTCAGCACTTTCTATGGTTGTGTTGTTCAGGTCTCAGCTCAAATGTCACGTCCTCAGAAAGGCTCTCCTGATCACCCAGACACTCTCTCCACATTGACCTAGTTTACTTCCACCCAGCACTTAGTTTCTTGAATTATGTTTTAATTGTTTTCATCCACCCCATACCCCACCAACACACACACACACACACAATTATTCCCTACACCCAACAGAATACCAAACTCCTTGAATGCAGCCACCATCTAGTCTTGTTTGCTACCTTGTTCCCAAAACTTAAACTGAGCTTTATAGTGGGTATTCATAAGGTTTGATGACTGATTTACTGACTCTATTACACAACTGCCCTCATTCCTTTTGTATGTGATGACTAATGCAACTCTTATTACTTGAGTTCCTACTAACATTACATAGATTGGTAATTAAAAATGTGTATTCTGAAGCCAGACTTCATGGGTGCAGATCCCAGCACTGCCTCTTAACAGCTGTGTCACTTTGGCCAAATTAATTTTCCCTCTCTGTGCTTTAATTCCTCACCTGTAAAATGGGAATAATAATAGTATTTGCCTCCTCATGTTGCAGTTAATTCACGTAAAGTGCTTACAACGATGCTTGGTACATAAAAAGCACTCAATAAATATTTGGTAAATTGAATTTTACTCTCCAATAATTCTCTAAGAAAGTACTATCATCTCTATTTCCTATAGGAGAAAATTAAACTTCAGAGTTCAGTGATTTGCCCAAAGTCACACAGCAGTAAAGAACAAACCTGGAATTTGTATGCAAGTGTCCTGATTTGAAATCTCCACTTGTCCAATAATATTTACCTTGATATATTGTTGGAAGATCAGATCAAAGCAACTAATGAATGAGAACAAGCTAAGGAATGTGAAAGTGTTCTGTTCACTACAAGTTATTCAAACAGTTAGCAACGACCATGTCATTTGATATAAGAATTGGGCTGTATTTGTCTTGAGGAGGAAGATACTCCCAAGGATGACTCAATTCTGTGATCCCAAAGTACAGAAGGATCAAGAAACCAGAGGTTGCCTTCATCTCCTTTGGCATTTTTGCATCTATGTCTATTTCACTGGTTTGCATTCAAGTTCATAGTTTATACATTGGCCACCCCCATCAGGCTGTAATCAAGCCCCTTGGGGACCATGGGCCATATTAGTCAGCATATCATAGGTGCTCACTAACTGTAGCTCAATTACACCATTCTATTTGTGCTCTTCCTAGATGCTTTTCCTGGTGCCTGACTAACAATAGCCCATCCAGTGTACCAAGACCACTCTCCTGTACCCTTCTACTCTCTAGTTATCCATCCTAAAGGCCAGGCCCCCTGGTGCACTCATCTCTATACCAGCCCATCCCAGCGTGGACCCTGCATATAGAATATGCTCGAAGTACTTGATAAACAGGCCAATGCACACATTTGTGGACCATGAATCTACCTGGAGCACAGAGAAAGGACATACTTCAGCTAGACATGGAGAAGCACTTTATAAGTTCCTAAGGCTGTGGAAGCTGTCCTTGTCATATCTCTCTACCCAGGGCCCTGAAGCTAGGAACACAGTTCTTTTTTGCCTGGACAAAGACCCTAATTAGGCTAGGCAGTCCCACCCCTCTTCTCTCTTTGCCTCCCCACTTCCTGGAGTTCTTACTCAAAATAATTTCAGGGGGGTCTTTGTCTCTGTCCTTGTTTTTCCCAAAGACCCTCGGATCCCTCTGGATGGTCCCTTTCCAGCCATGAGCCAGTTGTCCAGGACCCGGTGGGCAACCTCAATCGCAGGCCAGAGACAGGCTGGGGTTTGGAAATGCTGCTCAGTGTTGGAAGTTGAGTTTTGTGGGCTGGCTGACCACGGGTGCAGCATTTACAGCACTGTGTAGGAAGAGGAGATACTGGGCGAGGGCTCAGAGATCCTAGCCTCCCTCAGGAACCGCTCCTCTCCATCATCCAACCACTCTGAAGGTAGCCCAAGGGCCAGCACTTTCAGCCCTTTGTCCTTCCTCTTCCAGAGCACTCTTCCAGCCACTAGGGGTGGGAAAGACTAGGTACCATCCCACTGTCCCTGCTGTGTGACCCTCTGCCTGTAACAATCTCTGTATGGCTCAGTTTCCTCACTTATAAGATGAGATACTAATGCACAGAGGCTGGTCCATGGCCAATTAATAGTTGAATAGTAACAAAATGACGTGTGTGTGTTGGGGGGGGTGGGACTACTTAGTGGTATGCTATCTGGGCCACTGGAAGGGAACATCTCGGCACTGGGCTTTGGCTTTGCAGGTAAGTCCTCTCCCTATCCTGATGGTGCTTGACAAAGCTGTTTCCTGATAACACCTGGGCTGAGGGAAGGGGCAGTCTGGAATTGGGCACCTGTTTTCTGAAGTTTTGCTGTGGCTGGGAAGGGTGGGGCAGTGCCCTGACACTCACCAGGACGGCAGGCAGCGTTCCCCGGCGCCGCACATACAGCTGGAGGACCAGGTGATAGGCCAGGACTCCGCAGAGTAGCAGGACAAAGGTGAAGAAGATGCTGAGGTTGGTCACGGTGAAATCTGCTGGCCCAGAGAGATGCATTTGTGAGAGGCACCATGGGACACGGAGGGGAAGTCCTTGGGGATCCCACAGCCACTCTTGGAAGCCACTCAGCAAGTGGCCCAAGAGACCCCCACCACCTCAGGCTACTTCTAGACCACAACTCTGGACATGTCCGGGTTCTTGTGAATCCCTGCCTGGCCTCCCAACCTCAGCCCTAAAGGATTTTCTCACTAGACACAGTGGCTCTGCTGCAGACTCTCTGCACTCACCCCGTTGCACACAGAACAGTGAGTCAGGATGGTACAGCATGTAAGAACAGACAGTTTGGCAACCAGACCTGGGTTCAAATCCCAGCCCCACAACTTACTAGCTGTGAGGCTCTGAACAGATTACTCAGCCTCTCAGAGCCTCAGTTTCCTCATCTATAAAATGGGAAAAATAACGGGGCTCACTACTTAAGATGGTTGTGAAGCACATAGCACTTACCACCTACCAAGTCCTTTACTTAAATTATCTGATCCCTACAACAACCTTAGGAGGGAAATACTATTTTCATCCCTATTTTTATAGATTAGAGTCCCAAGGTCCAGAGAGGTAAAGCAACTTGCCCAAGGCCTTATACTTCATAAGTGGAGAAACAGGGAATTGAACTCAGACCTTTCCACAAAGCTATTTCTTACATCAGTGAGTGAATATAGACAGTCAGTGAATGCCTGAAAAACAGATGGTGCCTTACTTTGCTTAAAGAGGAGAGGCTTAAATGACAATGAGTTTATGAGTGTCCTCGATGAAATGAAGGGTACTGTAAAAATGTAAGGACTCACTTTGTTCTTTGTTGGACCTGTCCACACTGTACTGGGCAACCCCAGTGCATTGACTGTTGGTATAATTTATTGGGCACTTAACAAATGCTGTCTTGAGTTGCTAGTTACAGCTTCCTCTGGGCATACCCTGTCACCAAGCCAGACAGTAAGATCCTCGGGGAAGGACCAGGGTCTTTACATCCTAAAACTTCTTCTCCCTCCCCTTCCCAGTGCAGGCTGAAAACCTGGCATAGTATTTATTGACTTTAGCAGCTGTGGTGAGGAGTTAGCTAAGTTTTGTTTCCTCTGACGGGTGGGGAAGTAGGGAAGGCCCTTTGTGTCCTCCGCTCTAAGAGAGGACAGCAGGGGATTTGAAGAAACAGCAACTACCACTGCTGACTGAGGATGGCCTGTGGTTTCCTGGGAGGCACAGCTGTGCTCAAGTGGAAGTGCTGCAGGATCAGGAGACCTGGCTCTGTCCTAAGATGTAGCTTATATGCACTGAATTTCAGTTTCCTCATTTCTCAAATGGGGACAATAGGAGATCTCTCACAGGGCCCTGTGAGGATGGAGAACTGTGTGGAGCATGCCTAGCACAGTGCCTGGCATCAGCAACTTTTTGGATTGTGCAAGGCCCTTTTTGCCTCCCGCCCAGTCTGCACTGCAGCGCTGACTGACTCACACTGCTGGGACAGCACGATGCACGCCTCCTTGGACCATATCCCCTTGTTCACACGGGAGTCCACAGACGGTTTCACTTGGACACAGAACTCTCCCATCTCGCCAGAGGTTGGGAAGCTGAAGTTTTCATGTTTTACCTTCTTTGAGAGCTGAAATGAAAACAACAGCAATAAACAAAATGCCCTTGTTTCGTGACATGTGGAGGCTGAGAGCTGGGGGTGCCGCTAGAGACGATCTAGCTCAGTCCCCTTCAGCGTTCTTTTTCTATGATAACAAACCCTGCATTATCAACACGGTCCTAGGTCTCTGCAGTCACCATGATTTATTTTGTGATTTATTCCTTAAAAAAGAAAAGGAAGTGTTTTATAGATGCTGAGGACCTTCCCAGAAGGGGCTGGAATCTACTGTGGTGGAAGGGAAAGAGGATGAATTTTGCAGATTCCAGAGATCTCCCACTTATGGGGTGTCCTTGGGCAATTACACAGCTCCCTGGAGCCTGATTTCCCCATTTATATAATGGAATAAATTACCCACCTTGAAGAGTGCAGGAGACAACAGTTACAAAATGTCTCCTGTGGTGCCTGACACTTAGTAGGTAGTGTCGTCCCTGCCACCTGGCAGGAGTACCAGTTTGAGGGCTGAAGTCATCTCAACTCCCTTCCCCGCCTCTATGCCCATACGACCTTCCTCTGCCAGCATGAGAGGGGCACGGTGTGGGGGGAACCCAGTACCTGTGGCCTTGGGAATCCCATACCTTATAGTTTCCTGGCACCTTGCGAATTGCAATTTCATACTCGCGGAAGTATGGGAAGATGCTTTCATATGTGTCACCTTCAGGGGCCATCTTGGGCCTAGGCAGCTGGATCTGTCCGAGGATGAGGCCATTGTGTGTCTCTAGCTTCACGCTGCCAACAGTCAAATTCACTGCACAGGGAGGCAAACCATGAGCCTGCAGGTCAGGGGAGGACCTGGACCCTCCACCCATGCCTGGCCTCTAGGATGAAGCTTTACCCACCCAGAAACAGGTTTTCCAACTTAGCAGGCTATTAGGACTTCCTGGGGAACACATTAAAAATACTGATGCCCTGGACCTACTTAAGACAGTGAATATGAATTTTTGAAGCTGACCTGTGGAAACATCTGGTATTGTAAACACACTCCCCAGGTAATGTTTCTGCAGCCAGCTGAGAACTGGCCTGCAGACAGGCATTTGGGAGCCAACGACCTAGACCATCCTAGACCATCAGTTCTGACTCTGAATTCTGCAGGGCAGGCTTGTCACATGCACATGGCTCTGTGGATCCCAATCTGCAGAATGGAAGAGCCCCACTGAGGTTGGGCCTTATCCTTTCTCCTATCTCTGCAAAGAGAGACTCCCAACTTTCCCTCAGTAGTACCTCCCCACTTCAAAACCTCATACCCTAACCCTTGAGAGTCCATCCCTAATATGGCTAGGGGTGGTGGGGATACCTGATCCAATTCTGCCTGCTGCTTGGTTCCCTGTGTTGAGTACTTCGCGAATTTGCTTCCTCTCCAGAATCCTCTAAGTACACAGTACTGACCCTTGTGACTCAGCTGCCCCAACTCACCCCAAGACCTCTTCCATAGGATAAACAACTCTAGTTCCCCTTTAAATCTTGAACAACTTGACTGTTTTCATCTAAACCTTCTCCAAAGTCCTGACTTAGGTTTGTTTGAGCAACTAGGTCCCTGGTCAGGAAGCCAGGATAACATGGTGAGCTATGAGAACATGGAGAACAGTTCTGGACTAGAGCTTCTGGCTGGAAGGGACCCCAAAAGCCATGTTCTAGGCCCAGGAGAGGAAAAGCACCTTCATCCAAGGAGAAGCGGGTCCTGGTGATAGTCCAGTTGGAGTGCTTTCTTCCATCCACTGCCCGGACTTTGGCTCGGTACCCGGAGCTGCGGTACAGGTCTAGGGTCACCATGGTGAGATCACAGGACAGCACCAGGGTCTGGCTACAGCTGGAGATGGACTCCCAGTGCTCCTCTCCATACCTGGGGAGAAAGCAGGGTAGGCATTGGTTTACACTTTTGTTCAAACCTATCTCCTTTAAGAGGGAGGCAAGAGGCCAGGGGAAAGGGCTGCCATGATGGTATAGCTCTCAGGGTATTTCCTCTAGTTCAGGGCATCTAACTGCAAGGGGGCCTCCCTTGGTTCTGGGACACTGTACCAACTTCTCTGTAGTCTAAAAGATTCTTAGACTGAAATACGAGTAGCGTAAACCCAACTCCTCCAGAAAGACTGGCTACTCACTGCAACACAATCTAATTTATCCCTTCTCCGAACTACATTTGCAGTCATTAAGGTTTCCTTGTTTTCTAACTATATTATGAGTGCTTTTTCTGTTTTCCCAATAAGAGAGAAAAATCTTGAGGATAAAAGCAATATTGTGGCTCTCTCACCCCAGCACACATGAGACTCTATCAGTACTTGTCAACTGATGGATATGTGCCAAGGACCTTCCTAGTGTACTTCAGTAACAAGGCAGGTGACTTTCTATGCCAGGGCAGTAGAAAGGGATGGGCTCACCTACTCCCTCCTTTCTCCCTTTGCCTTACCTCAGGAGCTCCACTTCAAAGTAGGTACTGTCAGACTGATTCTGGATGGGCATCCAGTGGAGGATGTGGTGGAAAAACTCTGCTTCAAACCACACAGATGGAGGGCTGGGCAGTTCTTTCCCTGGGAAGAAGAGTGTCAGTATCAGAGGTGGCAGAGCCCACCCCCAGGGATGAAGATGTTGAGGGTGGCAAGCATTTTAACAGCTCCCATTATTGAGTACTTTACTATGAGCCGAGTGCTCTGCTAAGCACTCTACATATATGGTCTCATATAATTATCACAACATCCCTACAAGGCAGGCATTTATTACCCCAATTTTACTGACAAGAAATGAGGGCTCACAGAGGTTAAGTGACTTGCTCACGGCAACAAGGCTAGTAAGAGAAAGAGTGGGGCCTTGAATGCAAATATGTCTGATTCCAGAGCAGACGTCCTGAATCAATGTCCTGTGCAGTTTGTGATCAGAAGCAGAAGTGGCCCAGCTCTGCCACCCTGTTCCTGCTCTAGCCCATCCCAAGGCCTGCCCTAAATTGTCACACCTGGTCCCTGACTTGGCCTCAGTCCTACCTCCAGCTGAAGGCCTTCTCTCTGGAGTTCTCTGGGTACACTGATATCCTGCTCGTTGGCAGCTGCCTGTTTCCCTTCACAGGTCCCTAAGCTGAGGGCTTGCCCCATTCCCCAGCTTCTGAAAGGGTTTTACCCATGGCCAGAGGCCCAGCCTCAAGCTGGGTGAGAACAGACAGAATGAAGCAGCTCTTTCCGCAAAAAGTGAACACCCTTGGATCCACGGTGAGACGCTAAATGCTAGTGTCTATCTTTCTTCCCCTCCCTCCCAACACACACCATTCACCCTGGGAAATGGCAACTTTAGGAGTTTAAAACTAGCACTTGCTGGTGTGACTTAGGCAAACTATTAAACCTCACTGAACCTTTTTTCTCATTTGCAAGAGTGCAGCAAATATACCTACATTAAGAGTCTTGCCTATCAAAAGCAATGAAATAAGTCAAGGTCAATGTCCACACCCAGTTTCTCTTCTCTCCTCCTTGATCCCTCAATGTCTCTTGTCTGTTAGCAACTCTCTCAGGCGTCCCTTGTTCTCTAAATTCCCATCACCTCTCTAATGCTTCTTTTTTTTCTGATTGTCATATTCACTTAGAAAGTATGCCTGCCTCTTGCTCTATTTCTTATATTGTCTTTGATCTTCAAGTCTGTGTCTTGCCTTCTAAACATTAGATGGAAAGTGAAAAATGCAGCAGGTTTTTGTGGTGTTTGAGCTGCACATCCTCAACTCAATTCTTGATCATGTGAATGGGAGACTGCATATTTTACTTTGTATTTTCGCATGTAGAAGCGGTTGCAGTCCTCCTCTCCCTGCTTCTGCTCTCCGTCCCTCCACCTCGCGGCCCTTTCATTCTCTCTCCAGGGTTTGCTCTTCTCAGTTGCAGAAACTTTCTGACATAGCTAGCTGGGTTAGGAGACTGAGCTAAGGCGTAGGAGTAGGTAGGAGGATGGCAGGTGGCAGTGGGAGAGCATTAGGGGATAAAGAAAGAGCAGGGATGATTATATGGGGGTGACAGGTGTAAGGGAGGAAAACAGTTGCGCGGGGGCGAGAGATGCACGCACAGAAATAGGTTAATTGGAGGGCTAAGGGAAGGTAGGGTCAGATGGGGGAATCAAAGTAAATCCCCAGAGGGATAGTAGTCTGATCATTTGACCTAGAACAACAAAAACGCCAGCGAGAAATTTATGACTCCTCAGAGGCATGTGGGAGGTGAGTTGGGGAAGAGGGTCATTTAACGTCTCTATCCACACCACCCTCTTCCGACACATAGCCTTCCAAGAAATCTCAGCTTCTTCCGCTTCCACAGCGGGTGAGCCTGAGACCTAAGTTTGCCGGAATGAGAGAGGCTGCGGGAGATGGAAGATAACGGATGCCCCGGAGGGCCAGCCAGACGGGGGTCTCCGTGGGATGCAGAAATTTCATGTAGGGGTGACAAAAGGAGTCGAGTCTGGTCACCGCACAACCCAGAGCCGGGGGCGCGGAGAGGGCAGGGCCAGGCCGACCCAGATCCTTACCTCGCGCTCCCGATCGAAGACGCAGGCTGAGGAGCGCCGCCAGCAGCACTAACAGGCGCGGCAGCATCCTGGGCGCCCCGCATCCTCCGGGGCCAGGGCCGGGGCCGGGGCCGACGCCAACACCAACGCAGCGCCGCGAGCCTCCAGCAGAGGCTCCGCGGGGCAGAGACTGAAAACTCCGACCCGCCGCCCAGCCCAAGTCCCTGTGGCTGACGTCAGTGGGGCGTGGGCGGGGCCTGGAGGCCGTCGCGTCCCTCAGCCACGGCAAGGCCTCAGACTCACCTGCCAGAGCGGACAGTCCTGACTCGAGTGAAGACTCCTGTACGGGGCGGGTGGGGGCCCGATTGTCCCAGGAGGGGATGGGGGCGGAGCTCCGGCCGACTCTCAGCTCCCCGCCGGACCCCAAGGGCAAAGTGCGATCCTGTGAGAGCAGTCCGGGTAGCCAGCGGGTGTGTGCATGTGTGCGTGTGCGTATGTGTATGTGTGTGTGTGTGTTGGGGTGCAGGTGACTAGGGGTAGCCTTGCTCCTTTGAAAGCTGGAGGTGGGGTGAGGTTGTTAGAATTGATTTCACCAGACGAGTGGAGTGGAGAGTTGGAGCGCCGTCCCAGGTTCTCAGGGACGTGTGCGAGGACACGTGTGAGTCTTGGTGCTGCCCTAATACCTCCGTGTAGAGCGACAGTGAAGTAGGCAGCCCTCTACCTGACAATATTTTTTGAGGGGTGCTCATGATGTCTCCCAGCTGCTTTTGCTTTCTCTTGCCTGAACTCTCCTATTTAGAGCTTTTTTTTTTTTTTTAACCTCTGTGTCACTTGACTCATCTGAAATTTCAGATGCACCGAAGTGTAGGGAATAGGAGACAAACACTGTCCCTTTCACTTTTGTTGGATGTTGACATATGCTTCAGAGTATGTTTGCGTATGGGGGTGGAGGTGTCCCATTCTGTATCTGGTCTGAGGGTCTGCTTTGGGAATAGAAAGACTGCACTGTTTGATGATAGTCATGAAGGCCAGGGATTCCGCAGCAACATGGATAGTGAACAGCAGTGGCAAATGCAGGCCCAACAGGACACATGGTCAGTCAGGCCCAACCCCCCTAAGCAGAGAACTCTTATTGCCAGATGGTCAGATCACCTGAGAGGAAGAGCCCAGAGTTTTTAATGTGTGAGAATGTTTTTGCACCCTCTGTTGCTCAACTGAGAGAATAAAGGTGGCTAATTGCTCAGAAATACCCAGGCATGACCCAAGTGGTGTGATTGCTTTCTGGAATGACTTTTTAGTTCCCTGTGACCTTTTAAGGACTGCACTGTGCTGTTTCTTTCTGAACTTATCTTTACTTTTAGTTTTTTTGTTGAGCTATAAGAGTTTAAAAGTCTTAACTCATCATTGTGAAAAAGGGTCAGGATTCTTATTCACATGATAAATATTATGGCACACTCGTTATGAGCTAGACACTGTACTGAGGCTAGGATAAAGTGGTGGTCAAAACAAGGTCCCTTCTACCAAGAAATTAACAAGCTAGCTAAAGACAGAAAGTAAACACAGATTTTAATGTGCTAAGTGCTCTGGAAAGGGAAGTATAGGCTAATGTGGGGACACAGGAAACAGGCGCTTAACCACAATTAGAGTGGAGGGTAGAAAATCCTTCCTAGAGGAGGTAACATCCAAGCCAAGACTTGAGAGGTGAGTAGGAGGTAATGGGGTGAGGAGCAGATAGAGAGGGTATTCCAAACAGAGGGAAGTATATATTTAGAGAGAGAGAATATGGCATTTTTGAAGAACGCTGTAATGTGGGTAAGTTAGCATTGCTGGTTTAAGATGAGAATAATTCCATGGCTGACATAGGTTAGTATTTTCTCAGCATTTGAGTGTAGGCTATTCCAGTGTATCCTGCTGTCTCAGAGAGAGCACCCAGAGCAGGAGTTATGTCAGACATATTACTGTAGCTTGTTTTTCCAATTCCATTTTGGTTCGTATTCAGTTATTTATTCTCAGTGTTCTGAAAAGTCTACCCTATGGTTCTGTGATTTCCAGTATTCATACCATTATCGGAACAGATAATAGAAAATAATTATAATGGTATCTTTTGTTTACTGAGCTATTACTATGTATCAGGTACTATGCTAAATACTTAACATATTGTAGCAGAGACTGGCTAAATGTTTAGCAATCCTATTTCTGCTTCCTGGGTGCACATGGCAACTGTATTTCCTAGCTTCCTTTGCAATTATGTGAAATAAGTGTAACCAACATGAAGCTGAATTGGTGGGTGTCACTTCCTGGCCTGGTGTCTCTGTCTTTGCTTTTCCATCTGCCAGGTGGAAAGGGCCCAGTAGAGGACTCCAAGGGGATGAATAGAGCTTGGGTCCCCTGAATCATCTCTTGGAGGCGAGAATGAAGGAAAGACACCATATCTATGTCAGCCTGTGACGTAAGTGAAGAGTAAACTATTGTTGTATCTAGATTCTGGAATTTTTGTTATAGCAGCTAGTGTTAACTACCCTTAATAAGGCACGAACATTGTTTTATTTAATCCTTATTACCACCTTGAGAGATTGGCATCATTATCAGTGTTTCACAAGTGGGAAGTTAGAGATTATGTCACTTGTCAACATCACTCAGCCAGTGAGTGGGAGAGCTAAGATAAGAGCCCAGGTCTGTTTGACTCCAGAGCTCATGCTTTCACCAGCACATTATCAGCGCCCTTCCCCATCTTGGAAGAGTTCTTGGAAAAGACTGATGTCTAGTCTTGTTTTGTCAATGATGTGAGTTGACAGAGAGAAAGAGAGAGAGAGAGTGAGGGTGGGGGAGGTAGAACAGCTTAGGGCTGGGCATCATTGGCACAGAGAATGTGGTGTGCTCCAGGGAACCTGTGGACAGAGCTGGGCAGACATACTTCTTGCTCCCATGGCCACACTGGGAAAGTTTTAGGGCAAGTTTTGAGGTCTAGATGGTTCCACTGTCTCATTTTCACTTCATCTTGCTCTTTAAGATGATGCTTGTAAACAGGCCTCACTGGGGGGCAGGGCGGTCATCTGAGTGGGAAGAAAATCTGTGCTCGAGTGTCGTAATAAGCACAACTTGCAGTTTCTGTCCCTGTGCTAGTGATTAGGGAAGTCCCAGACCTTGTGATCACTATGTCAGAGCTAACAGGAAGAGAGCCCTTGATGGAACTAACCCCAGGAAGAGACAGAGAGAAGGAAGCTGCCTGGGGACCCTTGGTAGTCATTGGATCGAGGAGATTCACAGGTATAAGATGAAAGGGTCACAGAGGGCCAGCCCCAGCGCTAGGAGGAGCCTGTTGGTTCTTGCTATAGAACCTAATTATTGTCTACCATCTGCCCGACTCTCTCCTGACTGCATATAAAGAGCTCAGAAGGGACAGAATCCCTTCTGAATATCCCTCTTTACTATTTAGATGGTGACTCAGGCTCAAATAGGAAGTTTCATTGTTGGCTGGGTGGATGACAGGCATCCTTGAAGAAGGACATGGCAGATTTGCTTTTTAAATAGAAGAGAAAATCCAGGGTATGGAGGTGACTAGCCAGAGTGACACAGCTAGTGAGTGGCAGAATCCAAACCTTGTACACCTGATTTGAAGTTCTACTCTTTTTGCCTGACATGCCACAGCAGCTATGCCTGTGGAACTATGAAGACTGTGTGCGGGTGCCATGCCCATCAGCTTGGAGGAAAGGAAAAGAAATATTGACTTCCAAGGTGGGACCTCCCCTGCTAATTTCTTGAATCAGCAGAGCTGGGGCTAATAGCCTTTTCAGCCTGCAGTCTACCTGGGACTTCACTTTATTCTTGGTCAGTGTCATGGTTCACAAGGCTGCTGGGAGGAGCCTGTGGTTCTTGGAAACAAGAGACCTAGTTCTAGCCCCAGCTTGGTCACTGCCAGCTGTGTGCCCTTGGGCCAGTCCCTGTGCCTCTATTAGCCATTGGCAAGATCAGATAATTCAAACCTTCCTGGGCTGTTGTAAGGCTAGATACAAAAGTGTCAGAACAACTGATAAAGGCTTCCCAAATGAGCAGGGGTGTGGTTAGTAGAAATATTCAGTGGGAAGGCCTCACACTGACTAGAGGAAGCCAATCAATCCCCTTCACCAGTTGTTTGCTTGTCTGCATTCCTTTGGCCACTTGTTGCGCTGAGCCTCACCCCTGGACGACCTTGTCAGGAAGGGTGAAGACCTAGTCCCTTGTCATTGCTTTTTGAACTTGGGATTCAAGAGGTTAAGAACAGAACACTGATTTAAAAAAAAAAAAGAAATCCCATGTTATTTCAAGAAACAGTTGTGTCTTCCCTTTCTAGTCCAGATGCCTTTGACTTCTCCAGTTTTTAAAGATGTCATCTCCCTTTAATTCTAAACTTAACAGCAGTCTGAGGCCCTATCCCACAAATGCAGGAAGTCCATCTGCTCTTGCATTTCCATTCCCAGGTAACTTGGGGGGTTCTCAGGGAAGCCGCACATACTGAAAGACATTGTGGTGATCTCATAGCTCACCTCATAGTGACTCATGATGGTTACCTCCAGGCTGCAGCTGGTCACTTCAAGTGTGGATGGACACAGAGCCCGTAAGATTTTTAAATGCTGCTGGAGGCTAGTGAATAACAAAGTAGCAAAGAGACAGTTTAAAACTGCTTCAAGAAGTAGCCACTTAGAATCCCGACCTGTTCAGTACCTTCTGAAAACCTTCCTTAAGTTTCTGGCAGTTAAGTGGCAGGGAGAGACCAGCTAACTTTCTATCTTTGGAAATCTCCAAGCCTCTCTGAAGGACTTTCTTGTCCCCAGAGAGAGAAGAGGTCCCCTTTCCCCTGCTTAAAGTCCTCTTACTATTATTTTTCCTTTGAGTTGTTTTACAGCAGGAGTATCAAAATCCCTCAAGGGAAATTCCTAGCGCCGCCCAAAAGATATAGTCTGGCTCAGGTGGCCCACACAGGGGTAGTTGTTGGTATATCTCCTTCTGGCTGTGGTAGGCCTAGGTAACAGTAGAGGTGGGACCGCAGTTGCATGGCCCTGTCCAGGGCCTTGCCACAGACGTTCCTCCATAGAGGGAAAGACACCAGGTCCACCTGCTTCTCCTGCCTTTGTCTAGGCCCCTGGTCTTCTGTGAGTAATATCTGGACAAAGAATGAGGATTTTCAGCTAAACTCAGACTTGGGGAAA